AGTCGTCAAATCCATCATCATATCCTCGAGTGATGGACCAGGATCTCTCTCAACTAGTGGCTCGCAATACTCTTGCCGAAATTTCAACGTGTGTAACGTCAATGCCTCTATCATCTCCTCGAGCGATGGGCTGGGATCAATTGGTGGCTCGGAGTACCCATAGAAAGAGTTAGAGTGCTCTCTCAAGTGGTATCCATACCCATCGGTATAGAAGTAGTCTTGCTCGTTCATTCGACAACCATTAGGTTCTCTTACGTCTCGATCTCCAATCCACGGGCCTCGCATCTCCCTCTCATATTGGTAAGGGGTCTGGTGGGTATAAAAGTCGTGATAATAGGCTGCCATCTCGAAAAATTGCACCAAGCTCGATCAAAAGCGCCAATTAACCCGCAAGTATGGGGTCAACCTTTTCTGTCCAGCAGAGTACGGGGGCGCCCAGTATTCTGCCAAGAAGAAAAAGAAAAACAAGAAAAAAAATGGGGTAAAAGATATAAAATAAAATCCTAAAAGAAAAGCATTAAAAAAGATAATAATTCAATTAGTACTCAAAAATCACAATTCAATAACCCCACTCCCCGGCAACGGCGCCAAAATTTGACCGCGCGTCGCAACGCGACAAAATTAAAATTTATATTTTTCCTTGACTAACCTCTACTAACTGGTAGTAGTGGCGAGCAAGGGTCGATCCCACAGGGAGTGTGAATCAAATTATGAATTTTCTCGTATTAATTGAATTATAAAAGCTATAAAAGGAGGGGGGGTTGGATTTAATAACTAAAATAACTAAAATCCTAATGAAGCAAATAAAATATAAACTAGAAAATAAAAATAAAATAAAATAAATAAAGAGAAATTTCTAATTCACGGTTCCGTCTACACCCTCGATTGACTCGTCTGATCAATTTTAGTATCAAATCTCGCTATCTTATGAAATTACTAGCCCTAGGTAACGACACGGTCTGTTACCCGAATTTTTCCTTATTTTTAATCTAACCGCGAGACGCTCTACGATTAAATCTGACCTCTTAAACAGTCTAGGAAACGCTTCCTAAATTTAATTCAATTAGCCGCTTTACGAAATAGAAAAATAGGCTAGACTAAGTAGTGAACTCAACCGCGTACGTTCACTTAAATAGGCCGTGTTATCCCCGGTAGTTACCATCTTCCGGTAGCCTCTAATTGATTAAACATATCAACAATTACGGATTGACAGTTTGAATCTAGCAGTAGATATGAAAAGCCTAGTCTAGGTGATCAAGCTAAACAAAACTCAACAAATCATGGTTAATTATTCAAAATAACACAAGCAATTCCAAAGAGATAT